GGGGGGGATGCGCGGAGCCGCTGGGCGAATGGCTCCCGGAGTGGTACCTGTGCCTCGGACCCTGCTGCCAGCCTGACAGTCCCGCAAGAGCTACCAAAAGCGTAGCCCCCGGCCGGCAGCCCCTTCTGCATCAGTCGGGCACCCAACGAGTCTCCAAGAGGGTTGTTTGCAGCCAGGTTTGTCTAGCCCATCCTTTCAGTGAACACTTCACCTTTTAATATTGAACTTCTACTTATTAGTTTCTTTCTATGATACGAGTTATACGAGAAAAAACTATTTAAGGGAATCTCTCTTCGCGCATAAGTTAAGAGAAGCCGTCCAGGATCGATGACTTTTTTTTTTTTTTGTTTTTTGTTTTTACTGTTTAAGGGTCCTTGCATACCTCCTGCAACAGCTAGTGCTGTTCGCCTGCTCATTAGGTGGAGCAGCTGATACCGAAGCAGGTGCAGTCTAGACTGAATTCCGGAGCGATCCGCTTTCCCCAGGTCCTGTGGCTTCATTTTGCTTTATTTTTCCACTTGTCTTTCTTCAAGGCTCTCGGTGGCGATGCTCAGCGGGAAGAGTTACGTGAGAAGAGACGCCTGCAAGAAGAGCAGCCCTCCCCCCGAGAGCCGTACTCCCCGCCGCACAACTGGCGCCCTTCTCGGCGTGCAGACACACGTCCCTCGGAGGCTCCGGTGGGAGAGGAGGGGGCAGCGCTTCGATAACCGAGAAAGGCTGCGGTTGCCTCCGGTTCGGCTCCCATCGGGCTCAGAGAGGCCGGGGCTTCCCTGAAGGGTCCGGCCTACCTCGAGCTGCGCCAGGGAGGCGGCGGTGACAGCACGCCGGGGGCACGGAGCTCACCTCTTGCCCAAACGACTTCGCGGCGGTGCTTCCCCACGGGGGCTCCCCGGCCCCGTTATTATCTACCGAAGCCGGCGGCAGCGAGCTCAGGCGGCGGGGATCAGCTGGGGCTCGGAGCGGCTTCGCAGGGGCCCGTCAGCGCGGAGCCTCCCGGGACATGGGGGAGCCCAGCGGGGCAGGGGCAGCCCCCCGCTTTGGGGCCGCCGGACCCTCTTGTTGCCCGAGCTCCTCCCGGGGAGGGTAGGGGACGCTCCCCAGCGCAGACCCGTGTCCCGGGCTACAGGGAAGCGCGGCAGCCTGCCCTCGAGGGCTTCTTCCACGCCCGGGGGGAAGCGCATGACTGTAGCAAACCTTTCATCTGTATCCTATGTGAAAAATAAGGTCGGTGTAGGAGGGACCCAGCAAGTAGCATGGTCTTAGTGTCCCACGCATGAAATAGTGTCCGCTCCGCTTCTCCTGTAGCAGCGGAGAGAGCAGCCCTTCCCAGCAGCAGCAGCTACCTCCCACAGGTGCTCCACTGACAGGTATTCTCATCGATGCGCTTTAAGAGACCGAGTTTTTAAAAGCCGAGTGAGACCGGACTGGCGAGGGAGTCCCTCGGTCCCCAACGTGAGCACAAATCCGGCGCGACTTCACATCAGGCTTCGCACAAGGCAGACGTCTGAACCGCCCTCGGCCTCGCCGCCCTGCGGGGACCTCAGCTTCCGAGGCAGGGACAGACCTGCCGGGTCCCGGCCCGTGCCGTGGCCGCCGGCCGACGCACGGCGCCCCGGCGCGGGGCGGGGCCGCCGGCCGATGCACGTCGGGGGCGGCTGGAGGAGATCCTGGTTGCCTCCGCGGCCGGGGGGTTCAGCGCCGCCTACGTGACCGGGCAGCATAAATCCCACTGACTCCGGAGAGGAGCCGAGTTTCTAACTCACACGGCTGCTCTTGAAATCCCACTCTTCTGTGTCGCTCTCTGGGCTGCGAATCGTCAGCTGGCGGGGGCCAAACCGCTGAAGACGCACCTGAGCAATTTTACTACGTCGAGTATTTCCACTGATGCCAAGCAAATGTTAGCAGGATCGGTCCCAGCAGCAATAATGATTGCCGAGGTGGGAGTGAAAGGTGTAGCATACAACTCCAGACACGGGAAC